ACAGCTGAGTTTGTTTTAATTTAAAATAGAGTAGAAGCAATTCAGAAGTGAGATATGATGTTACAAGAAGTGGAGGCATTTCATTATACCAGAAAAAGAGTCTTTTTTTATTCTTTTTTTAAGCAATAAAAAATTGTTTCAATGATGCCCTGAAAGAATTATTCTCCCCAGTTTTTCAGTTCTCTCACTGAAGTGAAAAATCAATTATTTGTGCAGCCCTAGTTGTTTAATGAGGCATGTTGAAGAAAAACTTTGGTTAGAGATGCAGGTGGTCCTGTCTTAAAATTTTGGAATTTTAGATACCCCTGGGTATCTTAGAGACACCTCGGGAGCCACGCAGGGGACGTGGGAAAGGAAAGGGCTCACCATGCAGGTGTATACCATGTGACCACTGCTCTCTCTTATCAGAAAGAATGTTGCTGCCTCGGATGTTGCAAGTCTGGGATTTCAGTTTTGCGAGGAGGTGTAGAATCTTTCTCCATCTTACTCCAAGCTGATTTGTTTAGAAAGAGAGAAGTCCACAGGTGGTGATCTCTCAGTTCATCTCCGATTTTTGATCCTGTTCTGGGAAATGGCTGATCACACTAGGAGCAAGTTGATCACACACTGTTATCACAACTAGCACACCACTGATCACAATAGAAGCAAGATATTATCTTCTGTACCATTTCTGTTCTAACTTTATTGAAACAATAAAGAGTTAGTTGAAAAGAGTGCCTAAAATTTCTTGTCAATTGTGCCTGCGTTGGAACACAAATGCCACTTGTGCAAGTTCAGTCCTTCAGAAGGGAGGACAGAAATACTTTCCTGTGCCAGTAGTTGATTTTCCACATGCATGATCACTTTGCTTTATACTGGCCACACACTGTTATACAGACATGAATTCTTGCCTAAGAATGGCAAGACTGTTTTGTACCCCAAGATCTAAATGAAAGCACTGCTGAAAAATTGTGGAGTACCAGAGATCTTTATTCTGCATGGGGGCACAGAAGAGTAAGCAAGGCCACTGTGCCAGTAATATCTTCAAGTGAGGTGCTGGAATGTGTCCAGAGAAGGGCAATGGAACTGGTGAAGGGTCTAGAGAGTAAGCCCTATGAGAAGCTGCTGAGGGAGCTTTGAGTATTTAGCCTGGACAAAAGGAGGCTCAGGGGAGACCTTATCTATCTCTGTAACTGCCTGAAAGGAGGTGTAGCAGGGTGTAGCCTCTTCTCACAGGCAACTGGATGAAAGGATATAGCCTCAGGCTGCACCAGGGGAGGTTCAGGTTGGACATTAGGAAGAATTTCTTCATGGAAAGGGTTGTCAAGCACTGTAATGGGCTGCCCAGGGATGTGGTGGAGCCATGATCCCTGGAAGTGTTCAAGAAAAGACTGGACATGGCACTTAGTGCCATGGTCTAGCTAACGAAGTGGTGATCAGTCAAAGGTTGGGCTCCATGATCTTGGAGGTCTCTTCCAGCATAAATGATTCTGTGACTCTGTGATACTCTAACCTTCCTTCTTATAACTCTTCCCATCATGATAATAGCTCTAGAAACATAAAGATACTTACCTGCATTGAGAGAATGAACATGCAGATAACTGGAAAAAAAAAATTGGCAAAAGTTATGCTTACGTGCTTTAGAACACCATGTCTTCTCTGAATTTTTTCAAAACTGCTTGCATTATGTATTTGTTACAGGGATCAAAGGTTCCGACATAACAGAACAGACACACACAGTCAGGTAGTAAACTCAAAGTGATTTATTCCACCTATGTATATGTGTGCCCTTACAAAAAGGATATAAAGTTTACCACATTAATAAGGGAAAAGTTATGTCCCTAACAATTATGAGTACATACTGACCTCAAGAGCGATGAGATGAGTGGTCCAGTGCAGAGTCCCATTTGCGGGGGGAGGCAGGCACAGAAGCTTAGTGGGTGACCCCGAAGAGGCAATGTGGTCCTTGAGTTCTGGTGGGCCTCCCCAGAAAGTGTGCATGGCCTTAAGTATCATAATTTTGCAGTGTCATCCTGATGTGAACAGTACACAACAGGATGAGGTGGGTCTGAATTTTTGGGTCATCAGCATGCCTTTGGTCACATACATTTGGTGGCACTACACATGTGTGGAGCCTAAGTGTGGTCGTTGATCTCCCCTGGGGGTCATTACTTCCTCGACCTTCCTCATGGTCACCTCTAAGTGTCCTTCACAGGCTGTAGGGCAGTCAGTCAAGGCCCATCATCCTTTTGTTTTCCTTAGCTGAAGTTTTCTTATCACTGCTTACTCCTTCACTCCAGTCCCCCAGGCACCTGCTCGCTCCCTTCTCACTCCATTCCTACAGGAGAGCTGCAACTGCTTACTTTCATAGGCAGTTTGACATGGCCTGCTGCAGACCATTTCCAATTTATAAGTGTCTTCAGACACAATATTGTTTACACATAAAGCACCACACACACATTCATAGAGGCCATTGTTTGGTATTTTATCAATGTATGTTCAGGAAGGCAGGACTGCTTGCTGCCTCCGTTTGCTCCAACTAGCACAACTTTCCAGATGCAAGTAATTCAGCTTGTGTCTTTTATAACTTCCCAGTTCTTCTGACAAGACATTGACTTCCATTAGACGATATCTGCTAGGTGAAGTTGTTGCCAAATGAATACTGACACCATCACAAACCACTTCTGTGACAAAACCAGTGGATTGTCTAAGATGGGCAATGTTGCAATGCTGTAATGGGGTTTTGGACCATCTATTTATACATCCAAAATGAACTGGCAACTTTGCAGTAACTGAATTACTGAAAATGTAAATAAGTATTTTTCCTAGTATTTTGCAGATATCAATACGTATTTGCATACTTGAATTTGAACAAAATTCAGTAGGATGAACATCAGTTCTTTTAATTCTTAGCGTTTCTCCTTCCCACCCTTAACTTCTATATTTTTAATCACAAAAATGTAAGCAGGTATTTGAAGTAAGTCAAAGCCCTGAGGTATAAAATGGCCTGGAATTCCTGAAATCCCATATTATGACTTTCTCAGGTCTGAGTTTGTGTGAAGCCTTTATTACAGAGCCTTTGAAAAAAATTCTGAATCACAAAAAGCAGTAATGTGAAACTATTTTTATTGAAAATACATCTACAAAGTAATGTTTCTCAATCCACTCTGGGTGCACACCAATGCAGAACCAGTGAGGGATGGGGAAGGGAATCTTTCTATAATACCTGATTTCCATAAGAAACAAAGTTAGTATAAAAAAAGATCACATTCTTTGTGACACAATTCATTTTTCTCAGCTGATGTCATAGAAAGACAGCCTTTGACATTGTCTTTGCAATGTATTTTCAAACAAAATCTTATCAAAAAAATGAAAGTGTTATGCCATAAATTCTACAGTTAATGTTTATACACACATTCTGAATACAGTATCTATATAAAAATATCTCTAATTATATATCAGAAAATGCCTGTCTGTATCCTAGATTTGCATTCTGCTAGTGAAAGAAAAAAAACAACCCCATATTTTATTTCTGTCAGAGATTCATTTAGATCTTGGTTGGTTTGACTGCTCAATACTCCATATTAAACCCTGCTCACTTCAATCACCAGAGAGTTCCTGCTCATGTTGTCTGGATTACTCAATTGGAGAAGATGGACAGGAGTTTTCAGTCCTAAAAAAACAGTCTTGCCTGGGAAAAGATTTGCCTTCAACTAGCATGCTGACATTTTCTCTACAGCTACTTGTATACTATATTCATGGGTTTTTAGTGACAGAAGCAACATATTGAATGGTTTATGAATGGCAGCTGGGACAATGCAAGGGAATCCTTTATTTCTGTGATCAGGATGTTTTGCTAAGGGAAGGGAGAAAGAAGACCATTGGATATTTTAACAAAACACATCACTGAACAATGATGTGCCTGTCGATTAATATTTTTTTCTTTCCCCAAATTGCAACCGCACTATAAAACTTTACAGTTTAACCTCTCTAATAATACAAGGCAAAAAGGAAAAAGTATACCATTTATATTTCTAGAACAGGGCTTTATCAGGGGATAATCTTGAAATGAACAAAAAATCCAAAGGCTTACAAGTGCATTGTCTCCCTTTTTTAATTTTTCTCATCTATTCCCTGAAAGAAACCTGCAATATTTGCTTTAAAATATTTTCTAATTAAATTTTCAGAATATATTATGGTATTCACTATTTTGAAATTTGTATGTTTTTCCTAGTTAGAAGTGTAGAAGTGCCCATTAGTTTTACTTTCTAAAGGTTGTTTTTTTTCTTTTTCAGATGCTACTGATAAACAGTCTAGGAATTTGAAATTTCACATTGAGATAGGGAGTCTTCTTCTCCAGATGGAAAACTCTAAGTCCAGTTAACAGCTCTATAAATTATTAGTGGGGTGATAAGAGTTTGGGAGGTTTCCAACCTCCCGTTGGTCTCAGGGATTCAGATTTAGAATCCAGCCTGTTTAGGATCTGAACAACTCACCCTTCTGCACCTTCTGCAGAAGGCTGGCATTGTCTTCTTATTACTGCTCATTAAGTACATCATTAGCGTATCCAGAGCAAGCTGTTTTGGTTTTTTTCCAGAGATGAAGACACATTTTCTGTCCCAGACTAGGGCCATGCTCCTACAAACACTTACACACATAGATTGTTCAACTGAGTTGTGATGTTGAAATTAAGGGAGCAAATCCAGATTGGAAATACATACATGTATATGTAAATGTTTGTGAGTCAATGGGAGTCAACTAGGCTAATTTTTTTGTAAAGATCAGCTGAAACTAATGTGAAAGCCTGTCTAGATAAAATAACTTTCTCAGAAATATTTCAACTCAGCTGGTAAAAGTGCTGATTTGGGGGTATTTTTTTTCTTTATTTATATATCTTCCCCCTTTTTATCCCCTCAATTAATCTCCTGCTTTTTATTGTCCTGCTAGTATTTGAACAATAATATAACACTAAAGAAAAAAATCAGATAAAAAAAGCAAAAGTCCTGTTAATTTACTTAGCTGGATGCAGTTACCAAGTTAGAAGTACTGATTGTGTTTTTATAGATGTTAAGAATTTTGCAACAGGTATTTAAAAAAATAAAACCATTTTCAGGCTCTGTTATCTGTTTACTTTCCAGTTCATAAAAAAAAAAAAGAAAAAAAAAGAAAAAAAAGATTCACAGGACTGAGTAACATATACACAATCTCTTTTTTTATCCCCAGTTAGCATATGTCTAGCAGGACTGGTGTTGTTGCCTGGTAAATTTTTTTTAAGTGGGAAGCCAACATATACCACGATCACTGCTAGTTTGGAGTAGATTTTCATTAATTCTTTCCAGTGCGAGCACAAAGGGAGAAATCAAGGAATAAATGAACGTGGTAAATTCAAGATAAAAGTGGCTGGAAAAAGTGTGTTTTTCCACACTTGTAGTGTTGAACTCACGCTTTCTCTAGCCTACATCTTGGTTTCACTATCTAGTGGTTTCTCATTCTCATTTTCTTGTGAGATCAGTTGGTATGGTTTCTTCATTTCATTCTCCTCTATCACAGAATTACCCATTTCAACATCCTTGTTCTTCAACTCATGCCGTGATAAATGTTCAACAATTCCTGCTCCAATGGAATCTCCCAGGACATTGGTAGTGGTTCGGAGACGATCCCTAAAGAAAAAGTAGTAAGTTAGTCTTGATTTCATCACTGGTTCAGAGAAGCATGCAGACTAGCTGTTAAAATGGCCTTTGAATAACTACTAGATGAGTCACCTATTCACTTATCTGAACTGTTAATGTCATGATTTCTTCTACAGAAATTAATAAGTACACTGGGATTTGGAATCACAAAATGTGATAATTCTCTTCACAGCTTCACAGCAAGAAACAGCTGTGTGATGAGGGTGACAAAGGGAGCATATGGCTTCTTGGAGGCATTTTGGCACTCGGGTGTTTTGGGTTTATATCCTCTGAACATGTAAGCCAATGAGAATCTACCTTGTTAGGATCGTTTGTCTCTTCACCATAAACTATGATGAGTAATTTAAGGTGAAATGACTCAAACTACAACAATTCAGTCCTCTCAGGAGGGTTCCACACAGCAGATGTAGGAGGCAGCTTGATGAAGAGTGACTGGCACTGTTAGTGGATAAGCACCCACCTACATCAGACCGTGGGCATGTGGTTAGATAAAAAATTGAAGACATTATGCTTTGGTAACAACATGGACAGCTTCTTGCAGGGATCACTTGAGAAGACTGGAGACTAAAAGCCTTTGGAACCTATAAATAATAGGTGTTGGTTGAAATAGAGGTAGGAGAAAACCTTCTTTTGATTTAGTACTTGGACCTAATGGAATATATATACCTACGGGTGTCTGTCAGTCTTCTGCAGAGTGAGGAATGGAAAAACTGAGGGGCAATACATTGTGGTGGCTGGATAAAAGAGTTACACAGCTATTTTTCATTTCTGCGTCCATGGGGTAGACCTATGAACCTTTCCTAGATTAGACAGTCAGCAGGGCTGCAATGAATTGGTTGGATCTGATCCAATTCTGAGCCTGATTGATGGAAAGTTTACACTGCTATCCTACAAAAAACAGAAGACTAAAGCAATTCTTTGCTTATTTAATTACAGTGTGTCTGAAAGTTTTCTTAATACCCTAAGGATACAGGTTTCTAAGCAACCTTTTCGTATGCAAAAGAAATCATCATTAAGTAACACCCCTCACCATCTGCTCTAAGAAAATACCTTAATAGTAAGATTCTTTTTAACACTTAACTGCCTTCTACAGCAAAAGATTGCAGTATAGCCAGAATGTCCCTGGCTATTTGACTAGTACATATGGTCTAAGCCCTTAATGACTCCATAAAAGTACTTACAAGAACCAGTCCACTGCAATGATAAGAGTGATATCATCAGTAGGCAAACCTACTGATGTCAGCACAATGACCATGGTGACCAGTCCAGCTTGAGGAATGCCTGCAGCTCCAATACTGGCAGCTGTAGCTGTGATGCTGTGCAAAGAGAAAGCAAGAGCAATTAACTGACTTCTGTAATAAACCCTCCTTCTCATTTGGCAATCTTTAAAACTAGATATGAAGCAAGAAGGCATTAGCTCAGTAGTAAATACAGAGAAAAGGAGGCCAGTCCCTTATCTGAACACCTCATAGTGGCAGGGGAGCAGAACTTTTGATTCTAAGTGTTTACACTAAACTTTTATCCAAGATTTTGTTAGGTGCTAAACCCCCTATGAGATGCCAAGGGCCAGACAAAACCATTATGGCTATGTGTTTCCACCCACTGAAAAAACTCACTGCACAAGCTCAAACATGTAAAAAGAAAAGCTGAGAAGGTAATTCTGTCCTGTCACATCTAATGCAAGAGCTTTTATTTTCTGTTCATCTCACTATAACTTCATGCCAGGTGAAGTCTCTGTGTTCCAGCAGTTGGCATTCTGCCATCAGAAAACAGAAAGCTGTCAGAAACCCAGAATCCTACAGTCTAGTGACTTGGTAGAATATGCTTGTTCACACCTGGTTTAGGAAGAATGTGTTTTGTCAGGTGATTTGCCAGGGAGGAACTCTAATATTATTGAATGTGTAACTATTGCCTCAGAGTGTCAAGGCAGAGTTTTGCCACATGTTGATGAGTATTGAAACAAACTGATGGTTTTTATGAAGAGAATCACCATATCTGGATCAGCTTTCACCGTTCATGTAATAATTACATGTCTCTTTTCTACTGTGTCCATCCCTGACATTCCTTTCTTCTGCATATGTACCCATCACCCTTTCGTCTTAAATTGTGAGAAACATAATGAAATTAATGTGGATTTGTTATCAAGAGTGCTAATTAGCAGGTTGTTTGCTGTTCTTTTTCAAACAAGAAAGCTCCTGTGCTTGAAAACATACCTATCTTCTGCACTTCTATCAGCTGGTGTAACAAAAGGCATTGCTGCTCCTTACACACAGCTTGCTCTGCTTGTATCCTGAGACCATTAGGACTAGGAAAGCACTACCTATCCTAGAATTAACACCACGATGCTTTTATGCTACAGCTTTGTACATGCACTATAAACTACTCGTAGTGATTGTAAATCTACAGCTCCCAACACCTGCAAGAGTTTTTAAGACAGAAAAATTTTAAAGTAATCAAAAAACTGTCCTTGTTGACTTTATTCGGTGTGGTGACAGGTGTGTCATGTTACAGTTTTTTAAAGGTTTACCTAAAGGAGAATATGTGCTGGGGTGCCTTTTGTGTGCAGATGATGTAAATAATTACAGATATTCAGCTACTGTAGCTCTTCTTGTTTTTAGCTATAGATGCTTTTATTTAATCCCACATAAACTGGCAAGGGGTCATATGGATTCCATACCTGATTGTGATAATCTGCCCAAAGTTCAGATCAAAGTTGTTAACCTGTGCAATGAAAATTGCAGCCAAAGCCTCATATAAAGCAGTTCCATCCATATTAATTGTAGCACCAACTGGGAGTACAAATCTTGTAACTCGTTTGTCCACTCCATTTATTTCTTCTAGACACTTAAATGTAACAGGTAGTGTTGCAGAACTGAAACAAACAAAAAAAAAAGAAGGTACTATATGACATAAATTCTACGAAGAGAGAAAGAAAAGTGTCACACATTATGATGACAAGAGAGATAGTTGAGTCTTAATTTTTCTGTGATTTACCAGAATGTTGTTGTTTGGGCTTTTTAAATACAAAGGCTGAACTTCTAATGGTGGAGGTTTAGCTCTTGGAAACGTTGTCAGCAATTAATTACTGTTTTTCTCTAGGTAGTCCCTAGTCTGAATATGTCTAAGTTCAGTGTTTTGTCACACGATCCTTCTTCTAGGCAGAGGAATCTATTTAAAATTCCTGCTTCTCACTTTAGAGTCATGGAGCTGTTACTGAATCATCCCTAGACGTTGTTTTCTCGAAGTTATACAAATTGAGCTATTCAAACCTTCAGTAAAAAGCATGTTTTCTCTAATTTATTTGCTAACTCCTCTAGAAAGGGTATTTTGATCAATGGACGCATTAGTTTACAACTTATGGGTTAACATCAGTAGGCAGCTAAGCACCAGGCAGCCACTTCCTTACTTGCCTCCATCCCCTGAAGAGAGCAGGCAAAAAGGAAAGCAACAGTATAAGCAAGAAAACACAGGGGTTGAGATTAGATGTATTTAACAGGTGAAGGGTAAATGGAAGAAGAGAGAAAGAAAACAAAACAAGCAGTGAAAAGGCATCACTTACCACCTCTCACAGGCAGACCAATGGACAGCGAGTTCCTGAGTAAGAAGTGGCTAACCTTGTAAAATCCTCTTTTTCCCTTTTATTGCTGAGCGTGACGTGTATGGCATGGAATGTCTGTTTGATTAGATTGGTCCATCTCTCTGGCTGTGTGCCCTCCCAACCCCTTGTGCATTCCTCATTCTACTCACTGTGGGAGCAGAGTGAGGGACAGAGAAGGTCCAGATGCTGTGCAAATGCTATTCAGCAACAGCTAGAAGATTAGTGTGTGATCATTGTTATTTTGGTCACAAATCTAAAACATGGCAGCACACAAGCTGCCATAAAGTTTACTCTGTCCCAGCCAGTCCATATAGCTCTATATTTCATCACGCCAAAGCAAAGTTTTCAAAAACACAGCTATTCAGATTACTCTGTCTCAGTGATCTCTTCATTGCCAGCTACTTAACAGATTTTCAAGTCTTTGAAAACTATCAATATTGATCAAATATTAATAATAAGTAAAGAAAGGCTCTAGAAGATTGTGCTAGAAAAATGTCTTTGATGATAATCATCTCACAGTTGAATTTCAAAGAGTTTTAAAATCCACTTGCAGTAGAGTATGCTGTCTTGCATCAGGCTAGGTTCTTACTGAGAACTTTGATCAACACCATGAGGAAATGTCTCACAAAACCTGAAACATATCCTTCTGAAACCATTACTGTTACCTACAAAGTTGTAGTTTCATTTTATTTCCTCTTATGTTGAATGGCATAAATTTTATTTTCTTTTTAAAATAATTTTAAATCAAAGTCTCTTTTAGGCATTCACCTTTTAGACATTTCACAGATTTGCAGGGATTGACATCAAAATGTCATATGCGAAATTAGTAATAGTCCCTGTCTCTCGTTAATATACTGTCATAATTTTTAGTCCTTAAAAGCTTTTTCAGTGGTAAAAAACTTATTCCCATTCAACATTAATGGCCACGATAGCTTCTTATCCAGATCTTCAAAATAATCTAAACACTAGGACTCAAATTTAGTATTACTTGAAACACCTGTGCTTGAATGCACTTTTAAAATATATTAAAACAGAAGGTGCTTTATGACAGGTCATATAGTATAGAAACATACATTTGATTATAGTATTTCCTTTCACACATTCCAACAGTTTTTCTAATTCATATGATAGATCTATGACTTCACCAGCCAAGAGCAAAATGGCATTTCTGTTGCAGGTTCTAGATCCATCATTGGCTACCAGTATTTTGAGCAGAGAATGTCAGCTGTCAATAAGAATTCCTTCTGAACTTTCCTGTTTGCAGCTCCATTTTGCCATGCATATCCTTTGCCAGCTGCATCCTTTACCAGCAAGCCATTACTAACAACTCAAAAATCTCAAACACCAAGGCTAATCAAAATCACAAGAGTTTTGGCCATACAGTCTGCATCACCAAACAGACTAATTTAATATCTGTTCAGGGATTCTTATAGAAAATAGAATTCAAGTCAATATCACAGAGCTGTGGAACTGAAATACGGTGCCCAAGTGAATATTTGAATAGAGAGTTAAACAAACATTAAGCAAATATTTTTCCCAAACCAGTGAACATTATAAAAACAATATGGCTTTAAAATATCGTGTTATACCTGGAAGAAGTTCCCAAAGCTGTGACTAATGCCTGGATTAAGCCTCCAATAAATACCCATGGGTTCTTACGAGTGATTGCAAAGTAGAGAAGAGGTAGGACAATGACAGCATGAATTAGCAAACCAATGATAACTGTTACAGTATACATGGCAAGCTGACCACCGATCACACCCATATCTTCCATCTCAACAATTTTTCCAGCAATCAAGAAGAGAATTCCAATAGGAGCATACCTGCAAATAGGAAATCAAACCAGTATTACTTTGCAAAGTAGAGATTCACTCCCTCCTCCATAGCATTTGTGTTTATAAGCATGCATGAATGTAGAATTTCACTGTTAGGAAGCTCCTATGCAGGAGCAGTTCAAGAGTTTAAGTCTTCAACTCTTAACAGTTCAACCTGGATTAAACTGCAACAGTGAATTCTTCTGGTAGGCTTCAGTGGATTCAAGATCTAGTAAGGATTTCAAGATGTACAGTATGCCTTTCAGACATGTAGGGAGAAGAACTCCCTTTGGAATTCTAGTAAAATTTCAAAGCTGGTTTAGTCAATTCTGTTATAATTCTGTGTGAATGAAGGCTCAACCAACGCAGCTGTACACTATGCCAATCTCCCAGTTCTGTTGCAGTGCTGTTTCCCATGTTGTTGGGGAAGGAACCCATGCAGAAGTCTGAAAACTTCTGAAGATTTCAAGCTGCTTCTGACCATGCTACATTTTTTTGGTGTGGGACTGGATAAACATATTCTTCAACATGAAGTCATCTGTATGACAAGGGTTGGCTTTATTGTGGGACAGCAGCTAAGGTGTTATGAGTTGCTTTTCCCTGTTGGTAAGCGGAGCTAGAGTGGAAGAAAGAGCTAGTGCTGAGCATAAAACTCCAACATAATTCTGCTGCAGCAGTACTTTTGGTACAACCTTATTTCTATAAGGTCCACTTGTCTTCTCACACTAAGATACCACAGAACAAAGTCTATACACGGTATCTCAATTGCCCTTTAAGCCAACAAATTCATGCAGAAGTTTATCTGAAGTAGCAATTCTCATCATCTGCTTTATCATTTTAAGTGTGCTTGTAAAGGAGGAAAGATTTTTGCTTTGTATAAATGAGATCTGGCAGAATAGAATTTTAGTTATTGGAGCAAATATACTTATTTTTAGTTTTGTATCTAGACTGCAACATATATTGGAGCTGATTTGTTTGTTTTCTACGGTAAAGAGGACAGCAAAACATAATTTCTTTTCATAGTTAACCTTCTACCCAGCAAATAATAAATCTTCATTGTTGAAAAGACTTCACACATAATGTTTGAGAGAAAAGGTATTGGTTTATTTACCTAATGAAGACAGTAAAGAAAGCAGGAAAATTACGTGTATGTTGCAGCTGCAATGCAAGAACATACATATACACCACACAGCTACAGGAACAAGTTGCGCTGGAAACTAATGATAACAAGGTCTGATGGTGTAGAAATAAGATTAGGGGAGATATTTTGGTTTCCTTTAATGAAGTCTGATTAGGATATAAGGAAACTTCAATAGCATACTGCTGTGATCACTATCTTTATGAAGACATAAAATGGTTCTGTACAAACATAGCAAGTTCTGCCATAGACCCCGATTTTTCCCATGTCAAAAGTGAAAAACACTGAAAGAGTTGGTATGTTTGGGCAAATTATTGACATAGAGAATTACAGTTCTTGAGTACACTTTTGGAAAACTGCAAGGTAGATACAATCCTACTGTCTGACTTTCTGCCAAACAGACTCTTGCTACCCAGTGCCTGACTGTGACGAAAAAATACTGTTAGTAACTTGTAAAAGGAATTTATCAAAGAGGCACTTACCACATGATTAGAGCTACCAATCTCATGATAGCCTCATTAAGGCTATCAAAGAAGTCTTTCAATGCCTGACCTTGCTCCCTCATGCTTCCAATCACCAGGCCAAAGCTTATTGAGAAAACCACCAATCCAAGGGCATTCACTCCATTTACAGAACCTGGAATAGGAACTATTTCCTCTTTCATTCGGGTGAGGGCTTCCATTGCTTCTGACACATTGCTTACTATGGAAGTCACTGTGGATGTGTCATTCGGTGGAATAGCTACTTTAAACTTTCTCTTTTCATAGTTAGTTTTGAACTGTTAAAAAAAAAGAAAGAAAGAAATTCTGTGAAATTGTAGCATTGCGAAATTGTGAATTGCAGCAAACAACAGTTAAAATCACAAATTAAATTATTAATTACTCTTGTAGGAAATTGAATTTTACATGTAATATTTCTAAGTAAAATGTACTGTGATGAAACCCTGGCTTCAACAAAAATCCATGTTAACTTCAAGAGCTCTTCACATCTTCACACTCTTCACCTTTGGCTTCCAGAACTCATTGTCTCGTAAGTATGTCAAAGATGCAAACTTGTCATGCTCCTGAGTTTTGTGATGAAACAATTGATTTTTAGTTTGCATTTTTATAAATTTTTATTTTTCCCAACAACAAAATTCCACCTGTTAAATTAGTAAGTCTCATTTTAGCTGCTGAAAAGATTTTCATGTGGTCTGGAGCTTCTTTAATTTTTTTAATCCTTTTGAATTATAAAAAACCCAAAAGACAAATATTAAGTCCAAGAGCAGTATCATAGGTGATATCTGGAGACTGCTGCATACTCCTAAAGTATTTGAGTGAAATGGAGTACTTATGACTGAGATGGGAAACCTGTATATCAGCATTTTTCAACACTGACCTGATTTAATGTTATTTTCCACACCTGAATATTTTTATGCACTCCTTCCACATATTTGATATATTCCCCTGAAGGCTCTAAGTCTTTCATAATGTCAAATAAAACTTGCTAACAGGAGATTTATGGAGAGTTTCTGAATAATATGTAGCAGAACAGAACTCCATGAAGGTTAGATATTCTTGAGTTTTGAATGAAATTTGCTAAAATATTTTAAGATTTGGGCTGTAGTTAGGGAAGTCAACTGAGCTGTTTAAACAGTTGGCTGGCATGGAAAAGCCCAGTTCCACTGCCTCATCTACTCACATCCAACCTGTGATAATTCTTGTTTGACAATTCTACTTTTTAAACTGGCAGAAATCTTACCAAACAAAAAGAGTGGCCACTCTTGGTAAAGGCTGTGGTCATGCATCAGGTCTCACTGGCTGATGAATGCCAGAGAAGGAAACACACTGCGACTGAAACTACATAGCCAGGGAAGGAGGGATGGGATTGCCTCTTTAAATGACAGAGAAGTATTAGAGTGTAAATGGAAATACAAGTGCTTACTAAAGTCTTTTTTATTCAGTCCAGACAGGAATGTTAAAATGCTGTACATGTAACACATTTTTTCCCTCCCCTGCAAGTTATGGTAATTGTTTTACATGTTTATTTTTATTACTGGTCTCCAGTAGAAAAAAAACTTCGGTGGAAATATCTAAAGACTGTAACTATGCTGGACCTGCAGGCACACAGATTGGACAAATGTAGAGAAGCAAGCTGTTTAATAAAGTCTGGAACAATGAGGCCTGGAATTAAAGCCTAATTTCCTACCAAATTTCCTATTAATTTCCCACTTTCCCTAGCACATCACAACTGACTTGGGCTTGACTCTCCTCCATTACCCTGAGGTCCTTCTCTCATTCCTGCCTAATTGAGTAGATCAGAAGCATATGTGATACAGCTGTTTGACAGTGTTGGATGTGTGCTGCCTGCCTCTTTGCCTGTTGAAACAGGCTGTGAGCTAAGCTGTAAACCACTTTTCCTTCAGTGGTAGCACAGCCTTGGTTTGCCTGAGAACTGCCACCCTCATGTCAAACTAGGCTGGAATTGGCCGTGGTGCCCAAAAGTTATGACAGGGGACTGAGAAGCTTTGGGGATCTACAGGGAAGAAAGAACAATCATAGGAAGCTTCTTACCTTCAAAAACCCATGTTAGAAATAGCTTTAAGTTGTAATAAGCATATTCCTTCATTTTGTGCTCATTCTGGAATTCTGCCATAGCGGGGAAATGCCTTTAATTCTTTATTAGTTAATTCTTCTTAGGGGTATAATACAATGTTTAGGACCTCCCTTAGCAAAGACCTTTTCCCTTTCAGTTACTAGACTGGTACACAGAGATGTAGGTCTTATCTGTCTACTCACCTTATTTATCAGACTTAAGTATTCAGAAATGTTACTAGGGAGAATAGTCTTTCTATAGCCCCTTCCAGAGCAATGGAGAAATTGTTTATTTAGAATGAGATTCAGAATGGTAATCTAAGCAACAGGAACCAGGGCAACTTTATTTGCTCCAGGATATTTACGTGAACTGGTCTTTAATTATTGCTGAATGAACTCAAGGAAAACTTGGGTGGGTGTGTCTTGTCTATCAAAAACCACGAGAAGGCTCCTGGTGAAGCAAAAGAAATCATGGAAAACCATAATGCGAAGGAAGTATCTACTAAGGGAAAAAGAATAGGTTGAGCTTTATTCTTATTACTGCTTTTTCAAATGACACTGAAGGCAAAATACAAGATTGCTTGGCCACCACAAAGCGTGTTTTCTGTGTGTGAAATGGTGAAAAGGCCAGCTGCTTATAGGAAGTCACCAGATGAAAGACCACCTTCAAGATGTTAGAAAATGTTTTGAAATAGGTGAAGTAATAGCAGAGTTGACTATTACTGCTCTGCAGAGTAACTGGTGGCAAGAGGTAATTGTGTGAGCTTTTATGACATTCCTACTATCAGCAGATATTCATCTTGAAGGGAATCAGAATGGTCAGTTCTTCATGCAGCTCAAACTGACAGTTTAATACCACTGATTTAATACTGTGATTCTGCTCATCCTTGCTTCTTTACAACATTTAGAAATGGAAGAAATTGGAAAAAATAAAAGCACTCATATAACACATTGTAGGTGTTTCAGAAGAGATGCTTATGCTTTACTAGCAGTTCAGACACTGATAACATGTGATAGGCTAAACAACATCACTAAAGTCCTGTCATTTCTGAGGATCTTTGGAGCATTTTGTCTCCAGGCAGAGGTATTTTTGTCTGGTAAGATTATAGATGCAAAATACTCATGATTTTTTTCCTTAAGTTCCTACTTAGAGAACAACGGAGGAGCAAGGTCAATATTACTTGAACAGACTAATTCAAATAGCTTTCTATGAACAACCTTATCTGCAAGTAAAATATAAAAATAATGCATTTCTGTACTCTTCTTACAAGACATGGTGGTAATGATCAACTTTAAAATTAATTTTGTTAGCCTATTATGAAACAGACAATATACTTATTTTATTGCATAATATACTTAATAATTTGTTTATATTTTGGGGTGTTTTTTTGGTAGTGATACAAGATAGCCACAGTCATTTGACCAGAATATACTGAAGAACTTTTGAAGAAGCAACATTACAACAGGTCAGTAGCACATTCTGGTAGTTAACTTGTAGACAAAGTAATTGCATAGGTAACTGCTCTGAAAACTCATAATCACTGTCATGATTTACTTTGAGACAGTGTAATTAGCACTGTCTGTACTGAGGCTCTATGATGTTGCTGGGTTTAAGTGAATAATGATTTTAAAGAAACAAGTTTGCATAAATGCAAGCCTAAACATATTAAAAGAATTGATGATAAGCCAGTGATATTCCAACTTCCTAATTAATTTTTTCTTTGGTTTCCATATGACATGTGTGAAAGCATTCTAAATTGTCTTCAGAAGAGCTGATGACACAAGTCACAACATACCTTAACTAGCCAAAATTGTCATGAGGAATAGCTAGCATATATTAGTCTTCATTTCTGGATGTGTGATTAACACTTCAAACCCTCATGATAAGGACGAGTTCAGGAAAGGAAATGTAGTTATATATAGCTCAGAAGAAATGCAGTTATCAGATTCAGTTCTTTAAGCTTCAGCTGGCATCAGGTTCCACCTATTGATTTCCCAAGTTCCCTTGTGTTTCTTTTGCCTTTTGATAGACCCCCAGAGCACAACACAAAGAACAAGCAGTAAAGAAACAAGATCTGCACAACAAGCAGACTGCTTACCACTGTTTAGCCCCAGGCTAGACAGCATTTTTGAATTTAGCAAAGAGAAATGAAGAGAGAATGGCCAGAGCTGAAAGATAAATCCAAAGATTTCTTTAGGTATCCCTAAACTGGGCATGAATGTAGGGGCATAGTGAAAATTTTGAAGAAAGCAGTCTAGGTTTAGGTAAGTGTGGAATATTTATCTGCAGTCAGTCTATTCAGATTCTCTGGTTATTGATAAAAATAACAAAAGCCTCATATGATCACTGCACAGTGAAGGCTACAACACATGTCACAGGGAAATAACCAGCATCAGCAAGTATGCTGATTGGATTAACAGCCTACTGTTTAACAATCAGCCTGAGAAGGCTGAGGTACTCAACAAGTTTGTTGCCTCAGCCTTCACTGGCTGGCAGTGAGGCTTCCCATATCTCTCAAGTCCCTGAACCTCCAGGTGGGAGCTGGAGGAGCAAAGTCCCTCCCACTGTAATTGAAGAAAAGGTTCAGAACCACCTGATGAAACAGAATAGAAGTCTATGGGACCTGACAACATGCATCCCAGCATCCCAAGGGAATTGGCTGATGCTGCCAAACCACTCTTCATCATATTTGAAAAGCCATGTCTCTCAGGTGAAGAGCCTGGTGACATGAAATAGGGAACCATCTTCTGGGAAATAAAATGTGCAAAGAATGAAAATAATGAGTAGAAAAAGCAAGGATAGGCAGCTTTGCCACACAGACTTGTTGGGAAAGAAAAACAGGAAAGGGAAACCAAGGGACCAAACAACTGAATAAGGAACAGTAGAAAATTTAGGAAGATCTTCCCTTGGTATGTCCTAAGGTCCCAGTCTTCCTTCAAGACTCTTTTTCTAGCAGCAATCCTATAAAAGCTTATCCAACTCCATCTAGGAGCCTTCCCCACCTTGGTTACACTCCATGCAATTCCATTTCATTTTGCACCTTCTAGTGGGTTCCAATGCAAATCTCTGTCAGTAAAGAAACCTGCCTAAGGATACTGTAAGACAAAATGAGCACATCTAATCTATCAAAAGATGTGGAGTGCATATTCCAGAAATGGTTTCCAGGTGTGTAAAACTGTGGATCAGTGTTACTCTTTTGAGTGTGGATGACTATGAGTAGTAGTGTGTTTTGTGTTTGTGCCAGCAAACATGATGTTACAGAACCAGATTAGTGCCAGATGGACCATCCTTCTTCATAAATCTTACAACAACCATATGAGAAACCAGAAGGAAACTTGAAAAGAAAGTTTTGGAGTCAGATGTACACAGTCATCTGGACAACTTTGAATATTACACATATTTTTTTCTTCTGTAAAAAGTTTTTAGTTTAACAATTCTGCTATAACAAGACAACTTCTACCTAAAAATCTAGGGTTTGGTACCTGATTCAAATAGGAACAGTACCAGTACGACAGATTTAAAATCCTGGTACTTCAGTAAGTATAACTGCTGTTGAAAGGCAGAAAAAAACTTTCATTGAACATTTCCTGTTTTTTGAACTGTTTTCTAGAAATGCCTTAATGCTGCAAAGCACAAGAGAAATACAATATACTTAATGTAAACAGAATCTATAAGACATTTTTAATTAAGAACATAGATTTAGAACTGCTAATGACAGAGCCAAGTTTCCTGTTTCTGTAGGATACTTTATCAAAAGACTTTTTTAAAGCTGTATCATAAAACTGTTGAGGTGTTCCTGTGACTCCTAGTTGAAGACTTTTCCAGGATCTCACCTTTAAGTAATGAAAGGTTAAAAACCTTACTAATTCTCATTTTAAGTTCAGTAAAATATTTCCATTTCTTCTTGTCTAAAGATTTTTCTTTATCTTATTCAGCTCTGTTCCCACTTTGGTGTTGTACCTGAGTAGTTTCTAAATTGGTATTCTTTTTGCTTGATATGCTATGTTCTTTTGATAATTCCAGAAACTCTTCTCTCTGTTGTGCTCATTTTGCACGAATCTATGAATGAATATAGAATGAATCCTCAATATACTCAGTGTTCTAGATGGTCACATTCCTCTGGCTTTAGTTCCTGTCTTAGTGTTCTGTCACCTATTATATTCCTGAGCTGAATTATAGCAGATTCAATTTTTTTTGTCTTTCTGATGATAACTTCCAATGTGAAGGCAGAAATGAATGTTAACTTCTAAATGTTTATCTCACACATGATGAAGAGCAAGGTGATAAACGAACATGCCAATGTCTGCAAGAGCTGGCTCACTTGTTTGCTGTGACTTTTAAGTGTTGCAGTGTGCCAAGGACACACCACCTTCTTTGACATTTGTTACATATCTCAATACAAAGTGCTTGGAATTTCTTGTCATCTGTAAATTTAATTGTGTGTGTCTTATAGCAATGTAAGTCATAAAAATATCAATTGAGGTATGTCCAGTCCTTCAGCAACTTCCATTGTTATCTCCACAAATTTTACAATTCTTATGATACTCTTATCACTCAACTGCTTCATTTCCCTCATTTTTTCTTTATGTCAGAAGTCCAAAGAAATTTGATCCACTACCCTCCTCTGGCAACAACAACAAAAAAAAGGAAATTAGCAATATTGGGGAAGAAAGATGGTATAACATATGTTTCAGAAACTTCTGAGGGTTTTTTTTTTGTTTGTTTTATCAAGCTAATGGCTTGTTATCTGCTTAAATCAATTCCCAAATCTTTTTGAAATTGTAATTTGAAAACCACTTTGATTTCTTTCAAGAGCTTTAGATAATAATTTCCCAACTTGAAAGATTTATGAAAAATACTTTCTGCTAGATCTATAACTTTCTGCCCTAATTATTTAATTATTTCTAGATAAAGATCATATCATTCCTGTACTTTATCACATTAAATTATCTGATTTTTATTTCTAGTTTAGATATAGACTTTTGTATTTCCATGCTGCTCCTCTGCATCACTGTCCTGAGTTCATCAACATCCTTACTGAAAACAGTCAGAGCATTTGTTGGTTTTGGACCTGGGTCTAGTTTGTCTTTAATCTAGAAATCTTTAATGTAGAAAGTCACTGCTTTTTGTTGGTTTCTGTTTATATAACAAAAGATAATGTTGCTGTTTTTTTAATTCTTCTGCAAGATGTAACTCAGCTGGACTTCGGAAAGTTTCTGCTTTATTCTCTTCCTTCTTGACCTCCACATTTCAGCTTTTATTTTTATTTTCTTTTTACTGCTACAGCAGTAACTGGTAAATAACATCAGTTCAAGATTGTCTGTGAGGTCATTAAGATTATGGAAACACACATTACAAGTTTTACTAAATCCATAATGTCCTCCTTTTAAAATTAGAATACAAGTAGTTACTATAATTTTCTCTGCAGAACAGCTAAGGTTTTGACAGGGCTACTGATAGAGGAATGGGGAAAAAACATAGAAAAAGCACTCCTATGAACTACCACAGGTGACAGGAAATCTCCTTGTTTGCTCTTGTTATAAATGTCCACAAAACCTTTCATTCTGTTTCAAACCTATGCACATTTCTCAGATGACATTCTTGAATGTCTTCCAGTCTTTGTACAGATGGTGCATATCTCAGTATCTCACAGTTTGAAGTGACACTGGTTTTGGAGAGCAAATTCTGCATTGACTTTAGTGAATCTTGTTGTAGACTTACGAATTTGGCATTTCGAAAAAACCAATTTTTTTATTTGCCAAGCCAGGTGTGTTTTCTTAATTTCTCATAGCAAAGACTATTCTCTCTATGTGATTGAAAACAAAGCACAGATTTGGTTAGTTTAGTTTGGGGTTTTTTTGACAGCTGACAACATACGTAAATTGTGTTTCTGCTGCAAGTACAAGTATGTGCTATTCTCAAAGTAAATACTATTACACTTCAATCCTTCATGTTTTATTTGGAAATAACAAAACATTTTTACCTGTTTAAAGCAAGCTTCCACCAGATTTGGAGGGAACATATTTCTGTAAAAAATAAAGAAAATAGCATGAAAAGAGATAACAGTCCAAATAAGTAAGGGCACAGCTAATAAAATAATTGACCAGATAACTTTTGAAGGATCCTAAGACAAATAGGTAATTATGCATACAGTGAGTAGAGCTTTACATATAGCATTGGCCTGATTAGGTTTATCTGGATGAAATGTAGTAGGGATGGATAGATCCTGGCAATTGGAATCACTGTATCCAGTATTGTACAGCAGGTTTAGTTATAGAGCAGTGTATTAACTGAATTACCAAATGTACAAAGCTCTGTGGGATAGTGCTGGCTTTTAATTTTAAATTTATTAGTGCTTTATGAATCCAGATGAATAAATAATTTCATAATATTTAATACACTTCTAGTTGTCAGTTTTTCAGTCACATAGCATAGTACTTCATCACATTTCTCCCTTGATTTAGTCTTGTTGTGATTAAAAGATAAATATTTCTGAAGTTTGAGTATTCTATAATAATAATACATACATACACATATAATTAAATATGTGTGTGAATACTTGTTACAGATGGGAGGGATGTTCCTTTGCTTTCCAAAATGCTGCATTTCTGAGGGCATTAGAAGCAGTCTAACTGAATACATCTTGAGGAGTCCAAACCTCTCCATGGGTCTTTCTGAAATCCCCTTTCCCGGCAGCATGACTCTTGGAGGCCTTTCCCCATGTCTCTGGCTTCTCCAAATTGGTTAGTGGAATACAAAATTTTGGTGGGTTTACTTGTAGAAAAGCTTCCGAGTTCAAAACCTCAGCTTCTCTACTCTCTGCAATATATCTGTGACATATCAACTCTATAAAAGAGGTATTGCAGAGTCTCTGAGCAAGGAGAAAATGAGATTTTCCATCTGTACTCCTCTATTTCAAACATTTTACTTGCCTGATCCTGGAATTTATTTCCCATTCATACAATTTAACAAGTTGAGTAGATGCACTCAAATTCAATTCAAAATTAAAATGAATAACTAAATCAGGGATTCAAGTGAAATGAGAAAACTGTTGAAAGTTGGAAGTAAAGAAAACTGGAGAGATTTGGTAATAAGGATTGTGTTATGGAAGGAGGAATAAAGACCCATGCAGATAGCAGAACAGAAGTCTTTCTTTTGTGTGTGAAAGAATGAATCTTTCTTTGAATATTAAAAGCAGTTTCTTCCCCTGCAACAGCTTGATTTGAAAATAAATCCATGTATCCTTTTGCAGCGTTGTAGGGTTAGACATATTGGTATCACTCAGTTGAAAGAAATTTGGCTGCTTTATGCAGTCATTGTCTAAAATTCTCTACTTTTGTTCTCCATGAATCTAAATTTTACTGTCATTGTTATTGGTACAGAAAATGCGCAATATCATAGCCATACCTGATTAAATCAAGAAAAGCGTCTGCTGCTGTCACTTGCACAATTTTGCCTTCTCTGTGCATGTTTTCTTTAGTACCTTTCCCAGGGTGGATGATGACCACAATGATTATACCAATCACTACAGCAATGATCGTAGTACTCATGTAGTAGACTACTGCTCGGATTCCCATCTTCCCTGATGCTTTACTATCCAGGGCAGCAATTCCTAGTAAATTTAAGCACAACGTCATTCATCTGATACAGTTGTGAGCAAAGGCTATAAACTAAGCATGATGAAAATTGTTTTGTGGGAAGAGTTTTGATGACCATTACATTTAAACCTACCCAAGACAAGGTGTCCCTCTTTTGCAGCTCACACAGCCACTGTCTTCCCATCCCACCCTTAAAGCTTGTTGTTACACAATTTTCTGTTACAAGAGTTGCATCTTTTTGTGCTTTCTTAACAGTTTGTTAAAAGCAAAGATTATTGGTATGATGCAGTATGGCACTCCCCAAATTCCAGTGACACGAATCATGCTTTCTTATTAGCATAGTTACCATAGTCTGAAAAACATGCTGCACGTAATTTGTAATAGTAAGAAAGAAAATAGAGTACTCTCAGGTAGTGTTGATACTGTTTGCTAGAACTAACATGTATGAAGAGTGTTCTTTAATCCTGAATGGAATTACTTTGGTTTACCTCTGTCCCAGGCCATGGGAGTTGAAAACAGATTAAATACTCTTAGCCTGTGTCAGGAAATCCTTACCATTGTATGAATAAGCCTTTTATAAACTTTGCAAAACTTGCAACATTCTTCCTAATTCTTGACTTGTCTCAATGCATCTGACCTAATGTGAATATTAGGGTGCTCACCATGGCGTCTTCTAAAGTGCTTGTTCATCAGATTGCACCAACGGGGCTGCAATGTG